AATGAAACTTCATGAAGGCCTAGGAAGATGCTCATTCTGTCAACTTTTGCTTCTGAAATTTTTGTTGACTTCCCACCCAGTGTTTCTGAAATACACAGGTATCAAAGTCTTGGCCTTTTCCAGGAGGGTGCATGGGTTTGATTTTCACAGGCTCTGGATTGTTACCATCATTGCTTTCATCTGGCACTATCACCAAGGACTGGGAGTTGCCCATAGACACCTGTTCTAAGAAGAGGCAGTCAGGTCTCCACCTCCTGGGCTGTTCTGGAAAACTTAGCTTGTGGTCTCCTCATCCCAGTTCCTGGAAGATTAGTGACAAGCACCTGCTGAGGGTGCCCGCCTCATCTTCTTTTTTTTTTTTTTTTTTTTTTTTTTTTTGCATCACTGAATATCTAAAAAGGAAGAGCATAAATATAAGCTAGTACTAGCCAGATGTCATATCTTTCTGTGAAATTTGTATCATTTGTGTGTGTGTGTGTGTGTGTGTAGGATACACGTGTATAGAAGCATTGCTGTGGCACACATTAGAGATCAGAAAACATCGATGTAGATCCTTTTCCTTTCTCCTACATTTCTGTAGCATCTTGGTCCCAAATTTAGATCACCAGTCTTGAGCACCAAGGACATGCATCTGCTGAGTCTCTCATCATTTTCATTTAAAAGTAATTGGGATTTACTCTGGGTTAACTTTTACCTCACTATTCACACTCTAGGATGCATTTCTGTGGAACATTATGAAGTAGAATGATGACATAAGGATAATCAGAGAATAAGTTGCATCAGGTATTTCTTTCTGACCAATTATGACCAAGGGCTATAGTAACAAATTTCAAAAATAACATAATACAAAATGATAGATAACTATGAATGCATTCTCTGTCAGGACTGGATGTTATAACCCCATGGTCGGTTTCCATGAACTGGCATCCCTCCAGAGGTTTTAGTAGATATGATCCACTTTGTCTTTTCTAGCTCCTGATGTTTACAGGTTCTGAGAATGAAGAAAGGGAGAGAGTTGTGATATCACTCAGTTTCCCTGACCCTTTCTACCCAAACTTTCCATTGACCTTCAGTACTAAACTTACCTGTAAAGGGTAACAACAGTTGTAGGCACCAGGAGCAGCAACTGATTCAGGCCAACCACAAATAATTTTATCTTTCCTGGATTTTTCCTTATATTAAATTATAGTACTATGTGAGGGGTAATGTCGTACAATTGACAGTAGTAGGTTATAACATCTTTAAGCTGCAGGTTACTGACAGTGTGATATCTCACCAAGACCTACTGCCATTGAACTTCAAATGTTTCCCACTTTTCATATTAGGTGCCTTAGAGACAGGAGCTTAGGAGCATTCTCTGATTTCTGCCGATGAAGGTACCTGACTAGCCAGTCATTTTTGAACCACTGATCAGGTAAGTGATTCTGATTGTGTATCCCAATCAAAAGGATGTGTATCCCTGACAAAAGGATGAAGACTGGGTCCATCGGATGTCCCATCTCACACCTGAGATTAGAAACATAAAATAAATATACATTGAGTAGTCATGCTACAAGATGGCCTTCCTGGAAAACCATATAGCTTTGAGCATAATGGGCTAAACAAATGTGGTGCCTTCTTCCTTGAAGAAAACCAGGGCAGCAGGAACACAAAGGACTGAGCAGGGTCACTCATGCCCATACTGTGCCTCAATTTGAACTGATTCCTGAACATTGTTTTACCAACCTGTTAAGCAATCTTAGGGACAGTACAGTGTGCCAACAGAGAGTTTGGACTGCACTTAGCATGACTTCAGAATTCCTGTGGCTCTTCTTTGGGATTCAATACAGGAAGGTTCCCAGGTGTTGAAGACAGGGCAAAACAGCATAGACTCATTTGTGGGGATCATGATCATGTCTGTGGGCAAAGAACATTGACATAGGGTCCATGTGGACAATGTTGTTTTTATCACCCCCTGTCCATGTGGTGTTTTTATTATGCTGCAATTCTAGGCACATAAAGGAACCTTATTCCTCATGCCATTGCTGCTGATAAATATTGTTGACTACAGAAGTAGTATTGGCACAAGGACTTCTTGGGAGACATGCCCATATTTTTTAATTATGTTTTTTCCTTGAGAATTTCAGGCATGGACCATTCCTCTCTCTATTCCCCCAACCTGAATGCCAACAAAGACATCTATCTTCATAATTTCATGTCTGTTTCATTCAATTATTTACTTTTATATATGTGTGTGCCAGTGTGTCAGTATGTGTATGTGAGTGAAGGTGCTCATGGGATTCAGAGGAATAAAATGTGGGACTAGTAAAATTGAGTCAGGGAAGGAATAGATGAGAGAAAAGAGAGAGAGAGAGAGAGGGAGAGAGAGAGAGAGAGAGAGAGAGAGAGAGAGAGAGAGAGAGAGACTAAAAGAGGGAGCCACTATAGGTTTCAAGAGAAAACTGACTCTAGAGAAATGTCCAGAGAGCCACAAGACTGACCCCAACTAACAATTTGAGCAGCAGTGGAAAGGCTACTATAAATGTCCTTCCCTGATAATGAGATTGATGACTAACTTATCCACCATCGCAGAGCCCTCATCTAGTAGCTGATGGAAACAGAAGCAGACACCCACAGCTAAACACTGAGCCAAACTGGAATCCAGATGCAGAGAGGGAGGACAAGACCAGGCTACAGAAACACACAGAGACAGCTGACCTGAATAAGGAGGAGCTAATGGACCCCCAGACTGATAGCTGGGAAACCAGCATTGAACCAACTCAGACCCCCTGAACATGGGTCTCAGTTAGAAGGCCTGGGAAGTCTAAGGGACCTCTCAGTGGAACCAAGATATATCCCTGGTGCACAAAAGGACTTTGGGAGCCCATTCCCCATAGAGTGATACTCTCTTAACCTAGAGGCAGGAGGGAGGGCCTAGTCCCCTACTCCAAATGACTTCACAGATTTAGATGACTCCTCTAGAAAGGCATTACCCTACATGTGGAGTTGGGGAGGGGGTGGGATTGGAGGGTGGTCAGGGGTCATGGGAGGGTGGAAGAGAGTGGGGGAGGGACAGAAAGGGAACTGGGATTGATATGCAAAATAAGAAAAATAAATAAATAAACCAAAAAACAAATCTCTTGGTTATTTTTCCTAATCACTGATATACAGTAGAAGAAGGCTTTTTATGAAGGGGGAACAAGAGAGACATTTTTATTTTATTTTTTAATTTAAATTTGAAACAAGCTTGTTGTACATGTCAATCCCAGTTCCCACACCCTCCCCTCCTCCTCTGCCCCCACCAAACCCAAGCCCATCCCCTTTCTGATCCCCAGGGAGAGTAAGGCCTTCCATGGGGAATCTCCAAAGCAGGTCTTATCATGGGGAGCAGGGCCTAGGCCCTCCCCCATGTGTCTAGGCTGAGAGAGTATCCCTCTATGTGGAATGGGCTCCCACAGTCCATTCTTATACTAAAGATAAATATTGGTCCACTACCAGAGACCTCATAGACAGCCCAGGCCTCCTAATACCCACATGCAGGGAATCTGAGTTGGTACTCTGCTGGTTTCCCAGCTATAAGACTGGGGTCCATGAGCGCCTCTTTGTTCAGGTCAGCTGATTCTGTGGGTTTCTCCAACCTGGTTTTTACCTCTTTGCTCATCACTCCTACCTCTGTGCAACTGGATTCCAGAAGTTTGGCTATGGGTGTCTGCTACTGGATTAAGGCTCTAGGATACCATATAAGGCAGTTCTTAGTCTCATTATAGTGGAAGGCATTTAATGTAGGCTCTCCATTATTGCTTAGGTTGTTAGTTGGGGTCATCCTTGTAGATCTCTGGACATTTCCCTAGTGCCTGATTTCTCTTAAAACCTATAATGGCTCCCTCTATTACGTTATCACTTTTCTTGCTGTCCCCACTTTTTCCCTGACTCAATCTTCCTGCTCCCTCACGCCCTCCTCTCCCCTCCTCTTCTCCCTTTCTCTTTCTCCTAACTCCCTCTCTGCTCCAGGGAAAGTCTTAAGGAAGAGCTGAAGAGATCCTCATGCTACCTCATAGATGTGGTAAACTTCAAGGTTTATAGAAACATAATAAAAATTTGCTGTAAGATAAAGTAAAACTTTTGATCAAACTTATACATGAATTTGCAGATTCAGGAGCTGTCACTCTTTAAAATTTAAAATGTAATTTGTTTGAAATGTGTCCTCACATATTCCCAAATAATACTATGATATGAGTAACGGAGTAACGGAGCATGGTATATATTGAGAATGGTGGTTATTCAGACAAATGAATCATTAACCTCTATCCCATGATTTTTTTAAATCTAGCATGGGATAAACAAGTGCTGGTTTCTATATAATAAGTTCCTGTGTTTCCATCCACTTCATTGGCAGATTCCTCCCCTATTGTCAGGGGGATGGCATAGCTCCTTGAGTATTGAAGAAATGTCTCTGTACACACATCTGTCTTCCACAACACACATTTGGATGCTGACTTTCCAAGTATTTTGAGGGCATGGTAATCTGGTTGGACTGGAATGGGTGAGTGAGATCACCCATAGAGGGTGAACAACATCTAGGAAAATAGGAAATAGACAAGGCTTCTAAAATTTCTCTGAAAACAATATAAACAGTTATCATCATGACAGCTTAATCATGGGAGAAATTATGTCTGAAAACCACTCAGTATAACCTGCCTTACTGAGTGTATCAATTTAAGCTGGCCTTCACATAATTACATGAATAAAACTCTAGATCAGAGGTATGCACCATGAAAGAGGGAAAAAAAAGCAGAAATTTTCTTGTCAGTGTAATATCTACAAATATTTTGATATTTTTCTGGATTTACAGGTTCTCCCTAGATAAAGAACCACAAGAGTTTATAAGCCAAGAACTGCCTAGACTATATCCTGCTATTTGCATACTTCACCTTCAGAAACCACAAATGGCTCACATTTGTTTTAAAGAGATGTACTCATGAGAAGAGCAATAATTAGCCTGAGACTGAGATTAGAAAACAATGGCTTTTCAGGTGCAGATTTTCAGCTTCTTGATAGTTAGTGTCACAGGTAAGGTGGAGGCGACCATTTGAGATCAGATTCCACAATCTTTTAACCTGGGGAAGTTTGAGTGTACGATAAAATGTTTTTCTTTCTTTCTTCTGAATGATGGGTGGTATGAAGTTATCTATATATCCCTGTGTCTACTGACATTTTTGTCTTTGTCCTGCTCATAGTGTCCATGGGAGAAATTGTGCTCACCCAGTCTCCGGCCTCCATAGCTGCATCTCAAGGAGAGAAGGTCACCATCAACTGCAGAGCCAGCTCAAGCGTGAACTCCAATTATTTTAACTGGTACCAGCAGAAGCCAGGAGCTTCCCCCAAACTCCTGATTTATAGAGCATCCAGGCTGGCTTCTGGAGTCCCAGCTCGATTCAGTGGCAGTAGGTCTGGGACATCTTACACGCTCACAATCAGCAGCATGGAGGCTGAAGATGCTGCCATCTATCACTGTCAACAGTTGGGTAATAACCAAGCCACACAGTGATGCAGACTGGAACAAAAACCCTTTCCCTCCCAGTGGCTTCCTCTTAGCAATTAAATGTGGCCACAGGTTTAGTTGTAGTTTTAAGTGCTGTTTTACAAGGACATTTACATGGTTGGGTAACTTAGCGTAATCCAATATACCACACTGTGCTTCAGTGCTGTTCTCAAGTTTGGCCAGTGCCTGCTTATTCTCTATTTTAGTTCTGCTTGTTAAAGCAAAGTGTAGTAGGCACTTCTTCTCAGCTGTTCTACAGCAGGCCTCTGGGAGCCTGAATACCTGGTTTCTTCTACCTTCTCTGATCACAGGATCTTCTCTGGCAGGTGGCTTCCCCTTCATGAGAGTCGGTTCCTAAAAGTAAACTGCCTCTGTTATCCTACTGAAGGTGATATCCATCTTTCTCTGACTTCTGATTTTCGTTAACAGACCTTTGATCTCGCGGAAAGTATCCTGGTAATTAATAGTTGAAATGATTTTCTTTTCCAAAAAAAATAATTCATGACAGTCATATATTGTATTATCTTTCTATTCTTAATGACAAATTGCTGAAACGACCCACTAAGAAAGAAAAACCCCAAAAGGCAATAGAGGACTAATAAATGGTCATTAAAATGTTTCCTTTTAGTTTGTTTATTTATTTATATTTTGTGGTGTGTGTGTGTGTGTGAGTTGTGTGTGTGAGAGAGTGTGTTGTGTGAGAGTGTTTGTGAGTGTGTATGTGAGTGGGTGTGTGTGAGTGTGTGTGTATGTGTGAGTGTGTGAGTGTGTGTATTGTGAGAGGGTGTGTGTGAGAGTGTGTGTCTGTGGGTGTGTGAGTGTGTGTATCAAAGTCAGAGAAAAACATTCTGGAGTCAGTTTTCCCCTTTTACCATGTGGGTCACAGGAATTAACCTCAGACTGTCTGGCTTCGTGGTAGGTATTTTTACTTGCCAAGCCATGTCTACTACCCATTTTTTTTTCTTGTACATTCTGAAAAAGAATAAATCAAAGACAACACTAAATTATAGAAAAACTGTTCATGCTCATTGGTTAACCGAATTGGTTTTGTAAAAATGTTTGTTCTGCCAAAAACAACTTTTAGATACAATATAACTGTGATCAACATATTCACAGATAGAAAAAGTCCCGACTGCATATGACATGCATATGACAACTGAATACAAAAGAATAATGTTGGGATGTACTGCCATAACTAATCTCAAGTAATGTCACAGAGCAAGAAAATAAACAACATGAAATTAACACAGAGAAACTCCTAGATAATTGAAATAGATATGAATACTCAGATAATGAGAAAGCAACCAATGCTGACAAACAGGGAAATACACCAACTTACAAACAAACAAACACAGAAGGAAAGATGATCATCAACTAATGAGTTTAGGAAAAATGAATGTACACATACAGAATATGTGTCCCTTACCTCACCAATACAAAAATAAATTCCAAAATATTCAAGTACCTCAATGTAAAACATGAGGCTGAAAAATCTGGAAGTTATGGGATATATTATGTGGGGAGGACTGTAAACCCTCTGCACGGGTCTGGGACTGTGGTACTTTGAATGACACTGGCCGCTATAGGCTCATATGTTTGCTGCTTATTTCCGAGGGTGTCGTCAAAGAACTAGGAGGTGTGGCCTTTTTTGGAGTGAATGTGACCTTGTTGAAGTAGGCATGTCCTTGTTAGAGGAAGCATGGGATTAGAGGTTGGTTTTGAGGTTCCAAAGTTCATGCCAGGCTCACTTCTCTCTCTCCTGGATGCATGTGGGTCAGGATGTAATCACTCGGCTCCCTGTTTGCCACCATACTCCCTGCCATGATGATAATGGAATAACCCTATAAAATTGTAAGCAAGCCCTGAATTAAATGTTTTCTAGTATCATGTCTACCTACAGCCTGCCATACCCAACCATGATAATAGCAAACTGAACCCTGAACTGTAAGTGAGCCACCCCAATTAAAACTTTTCCTTTGTAATAAATAGTTGCTGTGGTCCAGGTGTCTTTTTATATAGAAACCCTAACTAAGACATTAGCCATGAAGGTGCTGGTTTGACTCTAGTAACACACACACCACACACAGACACACACACACACACACACACACACACACACACCTAGTCACACAATTATACACACACCATTACACACATACACACAGTCATACACACATCACACACACACACACAAACACACACCACATACATTTATACACAAACACATACAAATTGGCAGTGACCATTTAAGTTAAATTGTCTCATAAATTGTGAAATTATATGTAATGTACAGAATTTTAATTTGTACATTTTTAAGTTATCATTCATAATTTGTTCATTATTTGAAGTGATAAATGCATATTTTCAGTAAAATAAAAGTATAAAGATTTGATGGTCGTGATAACATTTTCTTCTAAATTTGATTTCACTCTTCACCACTACACTAGACACAAGACTTAAATATCATATTAAGGTCAAGGGCATGGATACCATCATGGAAATACTCAGAATGACCTGGAGTAACATTCCATAAACATGTGATTCATTTACTGACTTACATGTTTAAGAGAAAAGAATCAGTGTATATTCCCCTTCTTAAATAAAACAATTTATTGAATAGAATAAAAAGGTTAAGATTGAGTACTAAGTTATGGATAGGTGAAAATTCTCTACATGACCTTCATAATCCAATATTTCTCATCAGTCATCCAGTCTCTTCATTCTTATATTTTGCCTCGGGACAGATATACATCTTTCCACCTCTGAAAAGCATGGTGGTGTTTGCTTTATTGTTCAGTCAGATCCTGAGGAAATAGCCACTGTGTCCATGTTCCTACCTTCTCAGTTACCTCTAGAGCTAAATCTCTGAATTTAGAGACTCTAGTTGGTGCTAGTTTTGTGTTTGGTTGGTTGGTTGGTTGGTTGGTTGGTTGGTTGGTTGGTTGGTTGGTTTGGTTTGTTTTTTGCAGTTTCAATGGCAGTCTAAATTATTCAGCTATTTCAGACCACCTTCTATGAAATAAAAAACATTTGTAATATGGGTTTACCATATTACCCAGTTATCTTCCATACTATTTCTGAACTTCTTGCTGAATTATCTACTTTCTTAAATATCCTGTGAAGACGGTTCTAGCCAGATCAGTGGACAACTATCCACAGTTCCTGATACTGTATCCAAAGTAATTTTCCTGATACTGTTTCTTTATTAAGTTAACTTTGTTGTGTGTTTCATCCCAGTAATAGAAAAGTTACTAGGCCACCAGGATTATACATGAGAATAGGAATTTGAACATGAGATAAAACTTGTAATTTCAGAAGTGAATATAGAAGGGGAAATGCACAACAACAATGTCCTAGTTTCCTGTTGGACACTTGCTCAGCTAGCACTTCCTTGTAGATTTAGAATTTACAGGCTTCTTTTCTGTCCCAGTGAAAGCATTTCTTGTATAGTGCAAACACTGAGGATTTACAGAATATGGTAAATAAGTGCTGATATTTTTGTTGATTGGTTAGGGTTTAACTGAGACATAGTCTTGCTCTTGAAAGCTCAGACTTCTCTAGAACATACTACAAATCCCAAGCTGGCCCTGAAGTTGCAGTCTTCCTGTCCTGGCTTCGCAATATAGTGATTATAAAGAAGCACATGGATAGAAATTCTCCTGATGAGGGATTCCTTAAAGCCATGATTCAATACAGTCTATTGTTAGTTTCCTTGATTGCCTACCATAACTAAGACATAAATCCCTATTGCTAAAGACGTGACTTCAGCTGAAAATTTCAAACTGGTTAGCTAGCCGTCGCAGTTCTGTAAGGTGCTCTTAAACCTCCTGGTAGATAAAGTAGCAATCAAGTCTTGCTTAACAGTGGAGTTCTTAACCTAAAATGATGGCAACCTGCATGGGAAGATGCTAACTTGTACAATAATCTCTATCATGGGACTAATCTAGAGTTTTTTCCTTTGACCTGTGAACCTCTCTCTGACAGAGAACTACTGTCTGGTATTCCAAAGCCAGTCAATGTCCATGGCTGGGAAAGTCATATGCCCTCTATAAGTTACAACTGGTATTGATTTTTCTGAATAGTCATGGCATCAAGTTGACTTCTACATAGTTATATTTATACCTATAGATTTGTTATGCTGTTAGCCTTTACCAGAGAAAATCTTTTTCTGTATGTGGTATTTAAAGTAGAAGCTCACAGCTTCTTAAATTATGAAGGATGTCTGTGGAGTACTCCCACTTATCTTCAAGAGTATACTTCTATCATCCCTACTAGGATTAAGGAATATTTCACAACAGGATGCAGAAAGAATGTAAGAACCAGAGGATATCAAGGAGTCCTGTGAAACAGTGCATTCTGTACACGATCATTTTACTATACTCTTGAACTCACTACTGTGGTTACTAGCACAAGATCTGCAGAAGTTTGGATGCATCATCATTTCAACTTTTATGGAGAAAAGATTGACTGTGCACTATTCACTGTCAGACTACTAGGAGTTAATAGTTGCTGGGAAAGGGTATGTATGTAGCCTTGGAACCATTGCTAAGTTGAGTGTTCCAGTAAACAACCTCCAACTCATATTCATACAAACAAACAGAAATAAATTCTGAGTCAAATAAAAGACTAGCATTATCATTGGTGGGGATTATAGAGATAGAGTTTCAGTGAGGAAGGAAAGAGGATAATGGGAACGAAATTAAAATAAATCATTATTTACCTTTTTAAATTGCCAAAATTATAAATTAAATAAATTAATTAAAATGTAAAAACATAAAAAGAATAAACACTATAAGCACCATATAGTAAGTACACCATTAAATGAATGCATACATACAGACTTTCTAGAAAGCAGAGAGAACAATGAACATACAGGAAGCATTCTTAATGAACTTCTATCTGACCATGCAGGTCATGGAAGTGCAAAGGCACTCAAATTAGTTTAAAAAAATCCAAAATATCAAAGTTCAGAAAGAAAAATAAGACATGGAAATAAAAAGGGATTACTTATTCTAAAAGAATCCTATTAGACTGAAATTAATTTCTTAATAAAAAAGCTAGCATTAATGAGATAATTGAGTAATGTAGCCAAAGTTCTACGAAGAAATATAATCAAAAATCTCCCTTCAAAGCAAAATATAAAATGACCAGAAAACTTTAGAAATGAAGGAAAAGTAACCACTCCCCGTAAACAAAGCAAAGATAATTTAACCTAAAATATGTTTGCATTAAATTCAAAACTCACAAAGGTAGAGGAAAAAGTGAAAGAGAAAAATTAAATTTTCTCAACACATCAGAACACCAAATCATAAAAAAAATGGAACATGGAAAAATATTCAAAACAACTAGAAAATATTAAGATAAGTTATAATACACACATCATAGATAGGTTGTTATACATCAATAACTTTGGATATGATTGAAAAAATCGTGCAGACAAATAGCAACAACAGCTAGATGGAGAAAACAGAACAATTTGTCAGAAAAGAAACATTTCATTAATAAGGACATAGCCTGAAAGTAAGTGAGCATACCTTTCATAAATAGAAAGCAAAATGAAGTATGGCATGTAATAGTTACATTAATAAAATGGAATAAGTAGAAAGGATACAATGTGACATTAAAATAATTATATTGTGTGGTGATGTGAATGAGAATGGCTTCTACAGGATCATAGATTTGAATGTTTAGTCATCCGGGAGTGGCACTATTTGAAAGGATTAGGAAATCTGGCCTTGTGGGAAGAACTGGAACTGAAATAGGGCTTTGAGGTTTCCCAAAGCCCAAACCAGGCCAGATGGCTTACTCTTCCCGCTACCTGCAGATCCATATATGGGATCTAAGCTACTGGTCCAGCATCATGTATGCCTGGATGCCACCATTCTTCTCCACCTGACAATGTACTCTGAAACTCTGGCCAAGCACTGATTAAATGCTGTTTATCACAAATTTGCCATGGTCCTAGAGAAGCCCACAGAAACACCTGACCTGAACAAGGGGAGCTCATAGACCCCAGACTGATAGCTGGGAAACCAGCATAGGACTGACTCAGACCCCCTGAACATGGATATTAATTAGGAGGACTGGGCAGTCTATGGGGCCTCTGGTGGTGGATCAGTATTTATCCCTAGTATAGGAATGGACTTTTGGAGCCCATTCCACATAGAGGGACACTTTCTCAGCCTAGACACATGAGGGTGGGCCTAGGCCCTGCTCCAAATGATATGACAGACTTTGAAGATCCCCATGGAAGGTCTCACCCTCCCTTGGGAGCAGAAAGTGGATTGAATGGGGGTTGGGGGAACAGGGGAGGAGGGGAGGGTGAGGGAACTAGGACTGACTTGTAAAACAAGCTTGTTTCAAATTTAAATAAAAACATAACATCATAAAAAAAAACAAGATTTGCTCTGGTCATGGTATCTCTTCACAGCAATAGCACACTGACTAAGAATTATAGCCAAGGAGATAGTTTAATAAAGGAGTATGTCTCAGTTTCCTGCATATTTAAGGGATACTTTCGAGATGGGGAGTTAGACAAGACCTGTAGAATCAAAATGAATTTTCATTCAGCTTTAACCCCATTATTCCTGGTTACTAGCGGGTACATGTTCACCATTTTCCACAGACAAATGCAATATCGTTATTATTGCAGCTGACGAGGCCAGAAATGCATGACTAGTGAGGTATAGCCAAGGCAGTCATGCTCAAAGGCCCTCAGCAACAACCAACACTGGGTTCTACAGCACTGCTCTCTCATGTTTGGCTGCTGGGCCATCCCAGCAAGGATGTTTTTGATAAGGTATACATCACTGTGTGAGGAACATGTGTACCTTGGAAGCAGTAATATATTCCCAAATCCTCAGGCTCCACTCTGCTGATCTTGAGCGTGAAGTCTGTGCTTGACCCACTGCCACTGAACCTGTCTGGCACCCCAGAATATCGGTTGGAAACCCCATAGATGAGGAGCTGCGGAGACTGGCCTGGCTTCTGCAGGTACCATTCCAAATAGGTGTATCCATCACTATGTACAATACTCTGACTAGACTTGCAAGAGATAGAGGCTTGATCTCCAAGGTTGACAGGCAATGAGGGTGGAGTTTGAGTCATCACAACATCCCCCCTGGAAGCTGAAATGATGAGAGAGAAGTGCAAAGTCATGGAAAACTTAGTTGATTTATTATTATTTTTATATTATTTGCAACTTAGATGTTTCTGTTACATAAAATTGCTTATATGCTAAAATTTGCTTTTTAACAAAACAAGTGAACTGAAAGCCATTAAGAGGCTTCTAGTCACTATTTAGACCACCCCAGTCCATCTGTGTCATAATTTTCATTATAGTATATATTCTTTCCCATCTAGTTTCACCCTCTCACAGATGTAAATCTCACAGGCCCCATCTTGGAACGTAAGACCCATCTTCCCTACATGGACAGAACACAGGAAGTAAGACTTGGGACTCATCCCCTCTATCCATCACCCTTTCTCATTGTTCTCACCAGAAATCCTGAACAACAGCAGCACCAACAGTCTAACGGGCATCTTCATTTTGAGGAGGCAGCCCAAGGAGACTGATCAGTCACTGCAAGAGGACTACTTTTATCTCAGACTAAGAGGGTAGGTCCTCCCTAGAGAGCAATATGCAAAGGCCTTCATTAGTGATGTAGTATAAATGTCATGAGAATTCTCATAATGGCCCTTCTTTACCAGAGTTAGAACAAAAGGCCGAAAATAGTCAAAACTGTTTATGTATCCAAGAGGGGCCTCCTGGTGCCTGTTTAATAAAAGAGTGTGAAGCTGGTACACTGATCTACACAGTCCGACATAAAGACCATGAGGCTTGAGGAACATCCTATCCACTTCCCATGGAGGGTGGGGAATCATCAAAGTCTGTCATATCATTTGGTATTCCCTCCTCAGTGTATCTAGGTTGAGAGAGTAGCCTTCGATTGGGAAAGGGCTCCCAAAGTCCATTTGTATACTAGAGATTAATACTGGTTCCACTTTCAGAGGTGCCATAGACTTCCCAGGCCTCCTAATTGACACCAACATTCAGAAGGCTTGTTCGGTACAATGCTGGTTCCCCAGGTTTATGACTAAGGTCTGTGTGATCCCACTTGGTCAAGTCAGCTATTTTTGTGGTTTTCTCCAGCATGATCTTGACCCCTTTGCTTATCCCCCCTTCCTCTCTACTACTGGATTCCAGCATTTAGTGCTCAGCTGTGAGTGTCTGCTTCTGCTTCCATCGGCTACTGGATGAAGGTCTAGGATGGCATATAAGGTAGTCATCAATCTCATTACAGGGGAAGGCATTTAAGGCAGCCTCTCCACTATTGCTTAGATTGTTAGTTGGTGTCATCCCTGTGGATCTCTGTTGTCTTTTATGTATTTTGTTATAGGAGCCCCAAGAAACGCATACCCATGTCAATTCAAAATTACTCCAGAAAAAAAAAAAAACAGAATTCTTTTATTTCCTTGAGAGCTGTGTTTTCATACATTTCCAAAGGCAAGAGAAAGTATTGTTGAATGAATTAATAATTGAAAAAGACACAAAATGAAGAAAAATATTGTAGTTTTTCATGTCACTGGGGAGAAAAAGTTCAAAGAGCAATATGCCTGTAACACAGGATTAGGGAAATATTTAGCTCCCATGAATATGTTTCCAGTAAAATAACTATTCAAACTGATCTGTGCCTCTTTAATTCCTCCTTCTCCCAATCTTTTGTTTTAATTTTAAATCCCTCAAAGGATGTGTTATGTCAGACCTTTCTCCACTCTAATGTCACTAATACCCTCATAGAGATGAGTATTTCTGACAATAAAGAGTAACTGTCATGTAGATCAAATAATGAAGCACAAGGAATCCCATTTTCAATATTTTAAAGAACTCTTTTTCTGTTCACCTAATAGTGTTCTGACTTATATTACAATGAATGGTTTATTTGATACATATAATAAAAATATCAATAGAGTACTTTTGAAAAATAACATAAATAGTATAAATAGTATGACATTTACATGCAAATACTTAACGTGAAAATGCTTTACCGAAAGAAAGTAGTAATAGTTTATTGGAAAGTATGGGGGTTGGCAAAAGGACAATGGGTCACAAAAGAGTAAAAGAGACAAAGTGAAAGCTATAAGAATGATCAGGGGCTCAGGACAATGGGATAGAAGAAAAATTGCAAAAACTACTTTTTGCTAAACATCTATAATGCTGTCTAATACCTTGTATGCTAATTAAAAATGAAAATGATTAAGCAACCAAAAAAGATGAGGGAAACATAACCTGGTTCCGAAGTTCACTAGGAGGATTCAGTAGAAGGACCCAGAGAGGCTACACTGCCACCAAGGCTCTTCCTTATCACACAGGAGCTACAACTCTCAAGATTTCCAAAGGAGCAGAGCTATTCACATTCACGGAAACTGAATTTTGGCATCTTTGGGATTTACATATCAAAACAGAAATATTTTTAGATATTTTAAGCTAGGATTATGATAACATGCAAATCTGATATCTCAATAATAGACAGTGGATGAGTTATAAATACTATGATTGGAAACTTAAATGACCACCAAAGCTCTTATTTTGTATACCTGGTTTCCAACTTCTGATGTTTTGATAGATTCTGGAAACTCTGAGGATGAGTCTAAACTTCAGAAACAATTCACAGGGAGAAGTATTCGGCTTCATATCATCTATGACCATTTTTGTTCTTGCTCCCTGTTTCCAGGCTCACCATGATGCACCTGAGAAGCGTTTAATGCCTCTCCTGGGATGGATGGCAACCCCTGAACATGTGAGCCAAAATAAATCTCCCATACTTGCTTACCTCATCATGTACTTTGGTGGCAGCAATGCAAAATTAACTACTAGTGGGAATCTGTTATTTAAGAAAAAAAATCTGCTGAACAAGGGGGAGCTCATGGACCCCAAACTGATAGCTAGGAAACAGCATAGGACTGACGCAGACCCCTTGAACATGGGTCTCAGTTAGGAGGCCTAGGCAGTCTATGGGACCTCTAACAGTGGAACCAGGATGTATCCCTAGTGAACAAAGAGATTTGGGAGCCCATTCCCCATTGATTGATACTCCCTAAGCCTAGAGACACAGAGGAGGGCCTATGTCCAACCCCAAACAACTTGACAGATTTTGATGATCCCTCATGGATGGTCTCACTATCTCTGGGGAGTGGATGAGGGATGGGATGGGCATCGGTGGGGAGAATGGGAGGGTGGGAGGGAGAGGGAATTAGGATTGATATGCAAAATAAATAAATAAATAAAAAGAATACTGATACTTGAAATAGGGGATTCTTTGGCGCTCATTAGACTGCTTTTATTCTAAAGTAGAGAACTCAAAGCTGTTATTTTCAGAAATGTCCAGGACACCCAGGGATGATATCTGTACACTCTTTTCTCTAACCTTCACCTCACCTCACCAGTCCATGTTATTTATGCAGATCCTGGTGGATACTGAATCTTTCCTTTCAATGCCATGTTTAATAGCAGGACTGGGTACCTGGGAAATTTGATTCCAGATGTACTGGTGATGATCAAGATTTTACAATAGACAGTGTTATCAGCAATCCCAAGATACTTCCTAAGTCATACTGTGAAAAGCAAAGAAGGAATGTCATTAATGTTGTAGAGATACTAAATCACCTTTTTTTGCCTTTATGTGCAATTTCAGTGCCTCTCAAAAATTTGCAGAATACAAAGTACTAATTTGTATGTAACAAGCAACTTGTTATGTAGATGCTATTGCTAAAGGCTGAGCTAAATTTGACAAATAATATTCTTGTATAGGTTTTTATTTTAACTTTTTGTTTCTTTTCTGAGATTGTATTTGCATTACATGATTCCGCTCTTCTTGTTGCTTCCTCTAAAGCTTCCCCCTTAGCTTTCCCTGCTACACTAAACGTATGGCTTTGTTTTTCATCAATTGCTATTGCAATGCAATAGTTAGAATGCTTCGTTAAATGCAATCGTTAGAATGCTTCGTTAGTTCTAATAAAACCTCACTTCTGCTTGTCTGAATGGTTTATGTTATGCCTTGTATCACTGGGAGTGCCACCCCAATAGTGCTGACAGTAATAATTTGTACCATCTTTAAACTCGAGATGCTGATGGTGAGAGAATACTGTGCCCAAGTTCCACTGCCTCCCTGAACCTCAGTGGGACTCTATCTTCCAGGTTGGATGCCTCCTACATCAGTATCATAGGAATTGTCTATGGCTTCTGCTGACACCAAACTAATGAGCTAAATTTTTTTCACTGGTTTGTCAAGTGATGGTGACTTTTTCTCCCAGAGATACAGACAAGGAAATTGGAGTCTGAGTCATCTGCACTTCACATGTGACACCTGGCATTAAAATTACAAAGCAAATACTCACATGGTTAAGCGTACTAAAAAGACATTACCTGAAGAGCTGGTCATCACTGGTCAGAGCTAAGCAAATACTCACTGCTGTCTTCCTTACCTGGGAGCCAGCACAGCAGCAGTCCAAGGAGCCAAGGGGGGATCCACATGCCCATGCTGTGTCCTGACAGAAAATAATTCTTGTAAGAGTATGTCCAGCCTCTGAAGAAGACCTCGGATTAGTGAACTAGAGAAATTACATGCAAACCTGTAGGACTGGGCACAGCTGCTTAGATGGCTCATCTCACTAAGGCCTCAGCAAGGATCTAGGCTCCACGAGTATCCCCCACAAAAACCAGAATGTGAATATTTTCCACAAAGAGTATATGGGCTTCTAGGGAACAAAAAAAGGCTACACTTTTTGTTAACTTTGTGTCCTACCACGTTGCTAAAAGTTTATGTCAGATTTAAGAGTTTTTATGTTATCATCCACCAGAGAGCTTACATGGGACTGACCTAGGCCCTCTACACATATGTTAAAGTTGTATAGTCTGGTCTTCTTGTGGGACTCCTAACACTAGGAGCAAGGGCTGTCTCTGTCTCTGTTACCTGCTTTTGGAACCCTTTCCTCCAATTGGTTGCCTCTTAATAGGAGAGGAGGTGCCTAGTTTTCCTTCAGCTTGATATGCCATGGCTGGCTGATATACAGGGAGGCCTATCATTCCCTGAAGACAAAGGAGGGGTCCATGGGGAAAGGCACAGGGGAGGAACTGGGAGGAGAGGTGGAAGGGAGGAAAAGTGTGGTCAGGTTGGAAAATAATTAATTTTAAAAGAGTTTTCAGGCTGACTCTTTATGTGTAGAAACACATCACTATAAATATTTTTGACTCATTCACCTCCTTTTTACATCATATTTGTTACCTCTGCTTGCTTTATTGAAAGCTAAATGTTCTAGATGGCAGGGAAGTAATTTGCATCACTAACAAGCCATTTGTGATGAAAATGCTGCTGCTGATGATTTCTAAAATGATAGTGAGCAATTCCTACTCACCTTATCAAGTGTGAGAGCAGGAAAAGGAGTGCAGCATCCACCAGCTGCTGGAGACAGATGCAGGAATTAGATAAGGGCTGTATAATCGCTACTATGTTCTTTCAGATGGGACAGCATCATCTCCACCTCGAACT